GGGCAGGCAGGGATCGAACTCATGCGGAAGTGGCTTTAGCTTCTCAGTGCAGTGCTTTAACCCGCTGCGCCACCAGGGAGGGCCTGTTTTCCCTTTTTTCAAGCAAGGAAACAGACTTCTGTAAGAAAGCACCCTGCGTGTGCTGATACTCCATGGTGGGAGGGGTAGAAGTAACACCAGGCCCAGTCTCCGTGGTCCTCCGACTATACCCCACTGGGAAAGGCTGCGAGGGCCGAGGGCATTGTCACCCCAAGTGGATTAATGCTATGGACCTCTTTGTTTTAAAAGCATGCCCAGCAAGACCGGGCCGTCACCCAGACAGACAGGAAGATAGACACGGAGGTTGCTGGCCTTAAAACCATGCTTGAGTCGCACAAACTTGACAATATTAAATATTTAGCAGGTAAGTGGCTCAGTATCAAGGTAGTTAAAACAAGCTGAACATAGAATAAATCTGTAAAGTAAGTCAAAGATAAGTTTTGCACTTCATTGATTCCACCACAACTGACACCTTTTCTTAGCAATAGTAAAATGATACACTTTATAATCCCTGGAATCTTAAATTTGATTAATTGTTGGCTTTCAACTACAGTTTAGTTCAAAACAAATATTTTTCAGAGACAAAGGCTTTTGAGTTGTGATCGTCCCACTTCATTGGGTGATAGTTCTCATTAGAAAGTTGTTTTGCTTTGGCTGTTTTTTTAAAGGTTTCTTTTTTAAAAGAAAATAAAGATTGATTTATTTATGCATACAGAACTGGGGTATAGGCCAGAGGTGCAGGGGATGAAAGTGTTCACTAGAGACAGAGTGGGGAGCAGACAGGCAGATATACTGAAATACATTGCTGAGGGGCTCAGCGGGTAGGTGAGGTGAGGTCTGCCACGCCGTGTGGGTCAGATCCCTGGCAGGGGATCAAACCATGTGCAGTGACTGCAGTAATTTCATAATACTGTGCTTTAATCCACTGTGCCTTCAGAGAGGGCCCTGTTTTGGCAATTTTTGAGCCAAAAGAAGGAGTAAAAATTTATGTTGCAAAAAAAAAAAATTACCTAGCCATTCATTATTTTAACTCATATTTAATGGTTTGGCTTAATCAGTTATTTAATGTTTAGAAGTGAAATCTTGCTCATGAAGGGTCTGTCCTGTATGCGTGTGTGTGTGTGTGTGTGTGTGTGTGTGTGTGTGTGTGTGTGTGTGTGTGGACACACATACACATACAGGGTATTTATGATTCTAAACTTGTATTGAAAGTTTTCTCGAATTTTGGATCCTTTTATACTTTAAAAATGATTTTAAGCTGTGGGGTTTTTTAATAGGCTGGTATTTCATAGAATATTGTATATCTTTGAACAATATAAATCTTTTGGGTTTTTTGTTATTTTCTTTTTTATGGCAAATAGATAAATAAGTGATGTTTCCCTAATAAAAAGACATCCCCCTCAGTTATTGTTAATAGAACTAATGCTGTTCTCAATTTTTTTTTTCTTCCAGGGTCTGTATTTACGTGCCTAACAGTAGCTCTGGGATTTTATCGCTTGTGGATATAATAAAGTATTTAAAGAGATCTCTACTGGTTGCCTTAAGAATGCCAGATTATTGTCCTTTTTTTCTTATCTTAAATTTTAACCCTGATTTTTATTTAATGCAGATTATTTTATATAAATATGGACAGACAACCAAGATGAAGAAGTCAGAGATTTCCAATTGCTCCTCTTTTCTATTTCATTGACTTTATAACTGAGTGGCTGTGGACAAAGATGAAAGACGCCACTCAGCTGGGCCAGTGAACTTGGTCCAACCTGTGGGATATACCAAAAATAAATATATAATTCTCTACAATTTTAAATCCTTTGTCATGTAATGATATGAAGTCTCCACTGAAATGCAGAGTGCTGAAGAATCACTGAAACCTAAGGGCAATAAACCATCTCTTCCTAAAAGCCTCACCCCTGCCATCAGCCCTGCCCAGATTGCTGTGTTCCTGCTCAAGCTGGTTGGTATGTTAGTGATACAGTTGTATTTTAACCCCAAAGCAAATACTTTTCTTCTAATTTCCATTGTCTTAATACATTATTGTTACGGTTAATGTTTATGTGTCTTCTAGCTAGAAACTGTTGTTGCTTAATGAAGTGTAATTGTCATAGGAAATCTCTTTTACTTCTTCAAATCCTGGATTTCTCTCCCTCTCCCTCACTGACAACTGTAATAATCTTGTGTGGCATTACCTTTCCAAATACCTGCTAATTCTTGGAAGTCTGTTCCATTTGGTAGAATAGGTTCTAATTCAGACCCACTTTTTTATAAAAGGCAGGCACTCAGTTTTCCTCTGTAATGATATCTGGATATCTAAACATGTACACACTTTTTTAGAAGTAAACTTAAATCTTTAATAAATTATTGCCCATTCCAGGCTCAGCTCATAGATGTTCTCATGTCAAACAGTGTCATCCCAGGCTAGGCTGATTTCTCATGCCTGCCTACCTCTAGATCCAAACAGATCCGTTCCTAAATTCAGCTGGAGTTACTGTGGAGAAGCACATTCTCACCTTATTTAAATGACTGCCACATAGAGGAGACTACATGTTTTAGGAAGGCCACGATATCACCTTCTCTCTTCCGCCCTGTACAGGTGTGCACCTGAGCTGGTACAGTGCAGGAGCTGCATGACCAGAGGGTAAAGTGTCATTGTTCTAACCATATTAGTAAAGAAGTTTCCTCTTGTCCTTTGGATGTCTTTTCTAAAATTTGAAACTTGTAAGCCATTGCCTTTTTAGAAAACATTTGTGTGGCATAAAGATTCTGAGCTCCAAATAAGTATAAAGTCATGTAATTCTGCACTGTGGTCTCAGTTTCAAGTGAAACAACACTATTTTAGCTTTTTTTCAAATAGACCTAAAATTGCCTTAACAGCTTTTTAAAATATTTTTATCGATACAGACTTCCCCTTTCTGAGAAAGATTCCCCCCCCCAAAAAAAACACTACACATTTATCATCCACCTTAAGTGTTGAAGAATGATGTGCATGACATCCTGTCATTTGCAACTACTTCATATAGGTCTGATTTGGTTAATAAGAACTTGGTTAATGGGCCTCCAGTGCAGGTGCTTCTCCAAAATAACCCCCAGGAACTATGGTGATGGCACACAGGTGATTTGGTGACGGGAAGCCCACAGGGATTACAACTGAGGTGGAAAATGATGTAAAAATAAGCTACTATATTATTTAAAAAAAAAAAAAAAACCCAGGGGAGGAAAATAAATATAAGCAATTATTTCAAAGCAAACATTATCATACAAGTTAGAAGAAGTGAAGTTAAAAATTGATAGTCTTTTTTTTTTTTTTAAGATTTATTTATGTATACAGGACTGGGGTACAGACTAGAGGTGCAGGCAGGGAGTGAGAGGATTCACCAGAGAGAGAGCGGGAAGCAGAACAGGCAGATCGACGAAGTACACTGCTGAGGGCAGCAGCGGGCGGGCCAGGAGAGGTCTGCCGCGCCATGCGGTCACCTTCCGGGCAGGTGGGGATCAAACTCATGCGGAAGTGGCTTTAGCTTCTCAGTGCTGTGCTTTAACCCACTGCGCCACCAGGGAGGGCCCAAAAAATTGATAGTCTTTTAAAAAAAAAACTGATAGTCTTTTTAAAATAATACTCAATGGAATGACATTCTTTTATCTGCCAAAATTACTTCAGATGACATTCCTGCTGTGATTGTGGGCCATATTAGTCTGTCACTTGGGTCTCTGATTTGCTATGAGTTTTCTGCAGTATAGAAGAGCCACCTCCATCCTTCCTGGGAACAATGAACGCCTTTCGATGGCATGGATGGCATGTACATACAGAAGTTAGGAGGCTCGGGAACGTGTTCCTTTATTTTATCAAATTATTCTATTTGAAAAGCACATGAGCCAAAAATACACATGAACCCTTACTGCTGGTGGTCTGGAGGTCTCAACATTGTAGACCTGTGGTGACTGGACTGAGACACCCAAGCTAGCTAACACAGGTCCAGATCACTCTAGGAAATAAACCATTAGTTCTCAGAAGGGAGATGACCCTTGGCAAAACATCCAGATAACCTCTGCTTGGCATATAGGAATCTCACTGCAAAGTTGCCCACTTACTGCCAAACAAAGCCAGATCTGAATATAATTTTCCCCTAAGTATGCCAAGTACCTTAGTTGAGAAATCGCAAGGTCAATAAAAAAAGGTTTGACTCAAACTAGAGATCTTGCTGAAATTTGCCTCTGGGCACTACAGACCAAAATCTTGACCCATATTGATTATGCCCTGTCTGTGCTCACCTGTACTCACCTGCATTCACCTGTGATTGTCTCTAGCCACACTCGGCAACAGCACCTTCCCTCCTGTGCTCTGGTGTCCTGTCCAGTCTCTGCTTATTCCGCACGCCAGCTCTGGCAAGCATTTCTCGTCTCCCACCCTAATATGGTCCAGTGTACGGATTTTGGCATCATTTCTGAACAAATACAGATAGAACTTGTGTCTTGAAAACTGTGGTTTTAAAACAAATTTGTTGTGGCCTTTCTGAAACTAAAGCAAAAACATGTTAACCAGAAATAATTTATTCCTCATGTATGTAAAATGTTGAAAAATGTTCAGCCTTTTATTTTTTATTTTATTTGGAAAATACCTATATCTAGAGATTTATCACATAGATTCATCTGATCCCAGCCCAAATCATTTCTTAACCCTTTTATTACTTAAGCAGATATTCAATTATATTTTTATATAATAGGGTGGATATATTTTATTGCCTAAAATAAAATATTTAATTATCTTCTCTGTGAAAAATGCGCTTTTTTCATCAAATTGAATATGAAAAACTAGAACAATTTCTGCCTACACTGTATTTCAGTGGCTATTCCCTCCATTTGTATATACTAACACAGGTGTATTATAAGAAAATCTGATACCTAAATGTTAGAATTCACAAGGAAGGTAAGTTTGATAGTGATCTTTTGATATACACAATAAGTTTTCATTACTCGAATTCCTTTAGTGTGCTCATGTAAAATATAGTGACTACTTGCTTGAGTGGAAATTATGAGGTTTATACATGTTTTAGAAATAGCTGAGGACTCGGATGTAAGTGACAGAAATCCAAATCAGGTTAGTTTGAACAAAAAGGAATATGCTTTTATCTGGTGTAAATTCAGAAAGGACTAAACTCAGACCATCAGCATTCATCACTGCTTATCTTACCTCCACTTTTTCTTTGGGCAGGCAAAATTCTCAGACCAACTTAGGTGTGAAGAGCCAGAAATAGTAGCACTTGCCTTGGTAGTCTCCTACTTCGAAAAAGCTTAAATGTAGCCAGTGCAGGCAGCCGAGGTGGCAGTAAAGGACCGTCCTGAGAGGGATGCCGTGTCCTTTGAGGCATGCTTCCTGAGTGAAATCCCACCTCTGAAAAATTGAGCTCTCCAGTCAGCCTGCACTGCAAGCTGTGTTTGATGTGACAGATGCCTGCTCGAAGAGGAAAGCGATGGAGGACGGTGGAACGTGGATAAATGAAATAACCTGGGGATTTATGCACTTTCCCTTTTCTCCAACTACAGGCCTCTTTTACCAAAGTCAAATGAGCCAACAAGATTTGAGGGTGAGCAATAGAGTTGATAAAAGGAGGACAGCAAACGGGCAAAGGCCCTCCTACCTGGGCTGTGCTTGTGTTTAAAAACAGCGTCCTTGATGGTTAGATGTGTCGGTTCATGTCACCTCACATACATCTGCTCTATGTTAGTGATGTGCAAATGGAAAACCTGTTTTTTGTCTCAGGTCTGTGATTTATTACAAATAAGAAATTTGGGGGTCTCTCTCCGCAGACACTGCAGGAGACTTCGATCCTCCAGCCAGGGAGTTGACCCACACGGTGCAGCAGACCTCTCCCATCTCCACCGCTGCTCCCCTCAGTCGTGTTTTTCCGTTCATCTGCCTATTCTGCTCCCTACTTTCCTACTGTCCCTAGTGAACCCTCTCATGCTCTGTGCCTCTAGCTATACCCTAGTTCTTGTATGCATAAATACATAAGTCTTTTTAAAAAATAAAAATAAATTTATCTTAAAGGCATTTTCTAGAAGCCATATTTTTCCCTGGCACCTCAACCCCTGGTATTCCACCGCCAGATTTCATCATTCCCTTTCCTGCGAGTCATGTCTACCTTAAGTCTGTACTTCTCACCCAGATCACACACAATCCCACAGTCAGCCGAAGGCACAGCATGCTTCACTGAAACAGGACAGCTCTGGTGGTCTTACATAGGCAAAAACACACAGATCACTGTTTTTAGGCCAACACTCCCAGGAATAAGTTGAACTTTGTGAACATTTTATAAAGTCCTTACTTTGCTGTTCAGTTTAAACTTTTGTCTATGTGGGTTTTTTCTCTTTTTGTCTTCATTGCCTGTGCTCTGTGTCAGTTTTCCATGATTCTGAAGCTTTCTCAGCTTCAGATTAAAGCCTGTAGCTGGTGTCTAATTTCTGCAGTTTCTTTTAGAGAAGCTTTGTAAATTCTTCCTTCGCTACCTCAGATTCCACAACACATTCTCTCAGGAGAAAAGAAACAGCTGTTCAGTGGCATCCTGTCCCTTTCAGATGGAAGTCCGTATCTTTGCTTAACAGAATTATTTTTTCATTATTTCCTTTTTGCTTTTATAGTAGCTCATAATTTGTTTGAACCTCCCAGCTTTCTGCAAGGCTCCCAGCTTTCTGCAAGGCTCCCAGCTTTCTGCAAGGCTCTGTAACAGGCAGTCACGCTCTCAATCCTCAAGAATTGCTATCTGTGAAAACATTGGTGATAAGACTTTGGGGTAATGGTAGAAGCCTGGGAAACTGAGGTATTCAATGAGCCTCTGAAAGCACTTACAGGTTTCTATTTTTTGCATACATACATACATACATACATACATATATACACACACACACACACTTATGTGTGTGTGTGTGTGTATCAACAGGACTCCAGTTGCATTTAACAAAACAGTAGCTTACACCTACTTTTTTTTATGAATATCAAAGGAAATCATAGGTTTTTTTCTTAAGATTTATTTATGCATACAGAACAGGGGTACATGCCAGAAGTGCAGGGGCAGTGAGAGGATTCGCCAGAGACAGAGTAGGGAGCAGAATAGGCACGTTGACGGAGTACACTGTTGAGGGGAGCAGCAGGTGAGACAGGAGAGGTCTGCCGTGCCATGTGGATCACCCCCCTTGGGGCTGGAGATCCATCTCACACTGAAGAGGCTGTAACTCACTTGCAGTACTGTGCTTTAATCCATTGCTCCACCAGGGAGGTCCTAACTCTAGAAATAGGTGATTCTAAGGCTTAGGTTACAGCTCATGGTACATTCAAGGACCCAACTGTTTTTTCACATTTCAACTTCCACCTTCCTTTCTGTGTTAGCTTCAGGGTGGAGTTACCTGATTACAATATGGCTTCTGTGGCCCCATCCTCACATAGCATCCACACCAAAAAAGATGGATGTGCAAAAGAATGCTTTTCATGTCTCTCTTTTTTAGGGAGAAAGATCTCCCCAAACACACAGTCCTGTCTCATAGGCCAGGCCCAGGGGGTACAGGCGCATGTCCCTTTCCTTGCAAGGACAGGGCAGACTTGCAGCGGGCACTGTCAACAGCACTCTGAGGTTAGCTTTATCTCTGTCGCCTTGGCTACATGGCAGAGACATGTATCCT